GCGTCCCCCCCCGCCCCGGGCCTGCTTACAGGTGGCTGAGCTAGGCTAGCTGGGGCTGGGCCAGGCGCCCGCGCCCTCCCACCGCGGCGTCCCAGCCCCCTCTCCCCAATCCTGAATCCCCGGGAGCTTTGCTGTGATGAATGACTTTCTACAGCTCGCGTCGTGGGAACTTAGTGCTGGAGCCACCCCGCCTCATCCCCCAGCGACCCCCCGACTCCCTTGAAAATCAGGAAGGGGAGTAGGAGAAACCGAGTGGCGGGGGTGGCGGGTGTGGTCTGGGCAGGGACCGGAGAGCTTCGAGGTAGATATTTAACCCTCGCTTTCCCTTGGCAGTCTCCCCAGCCGCCGGCTGAATTTGGGCGTCTTAGTCGGCGCTAGGGCCCCGGCTGGGCGGGAGCCCGGGGTGGGGCGAGTGTGTGTGTGTGTGTGTGTGTGCGTCTGTGTCTGAGTGCGCGCGCGCGAACGCGTGTGTTTGTGAGACGGAGAGACCCTCTCTTCCTTGGGTTCGGACCAGGATTCCGGGGCATGAAATTTAAGCCTCTGGTTAGATTAAAGTGTTAGGGCTGCCGTGACTCGTTGATCCGTGACGCATTTCAACTTGATCTTTCTAGATGCTGATTTCACTATTAAATCAGAAACTACTCGGCTCCCTCGCTACCCCTAGATCTCCTGTAACTGACACCCCAGGCAAAGGGGCTGGAGTGCGTGGGGTTTTGTTTTAAAATTTAAAGGGGTGTGTGTGGAGGGTGGTAGCTTTATTTGTGCAAAGGGCAGATATAGGTGGAGGAGGAGAATTTAAGGTCTCACCAGTCCAGTCCCTGGACTCCGGCTCCCGGGCCCTGGTTGGGGGTCTGCTTCGACCGGGGCGGGGGCTATAAGCAGGTACCTGGGGCTGGGGAAGAGGCTCTCTTATAAGGGGGGCTCGAGCCGACGGGGTCGCGGCCGCGAGCGCTGACCGTGTGGCCTTTGCTTGCAGGAAGCCGAGATCCCCCGCGAGGTGATTGAGAGGCTGGCTCACAGTCAGATCCACAGCATCCGGGACCTCCAGCGACTCCTGGAGATAGACTCCGTAGGTAAATCGCGCCCCTTCCCTTGGTGCGCGGGTGGGCGGGGAGTCGGTTCGCCCTGCGCCGCCTCCAGCGCTCGGTCCCGGCTGGGCCGGGCGCCGCGCAGGAGCGCACCGAAAGGTCAGAATCCAATCCTCGGCCATAAACGCCCAGGCGGATGAGTCAGGAGTTTCTCTTCCAATCGCCACTTTCTCTCCCAGCGGCGGCCGAGGGCTGCTCACTCGCCCAAGGATTGTTTTCGCATTTAAGGAAAATGCCGCGTGTGTCACAGAAAGTTCAGCCGCGAAGAGGGCGCCCGCGTCCCCGCCAGGTGTGCAGGCTCCGCGCCTGCCCTCGGGTGGGAGGAGTGGCGGGACTAGCACAGGCCCTGGGCGCTGAGCCCTAGCCGGTGCGCCTGGGGGGCAGTCCCCGTAGCAGCGAGGCCGTGAGGGCAGGCGGGGTGGGGGTGGGGGGGCTCCCAGTCCGACGGGCTGGTCCGCTAGAGGAACGGTGCCCCCCTGGGTCAGAGCCTCTTTGTAATTCATGAGAACTGGTGCGCGTTTTGCTGCAGGGCTGGGGCTTTGTGGCTGCAGGAGGCCGGTGTCTTTTTCTATTCATGACCCTGTAAAAGGCGCTCCTTGGCCACCTCTGCTGTTTAGGGGCTATTTTGGGGGTTCACCCTCAGGGCCTGGAGCTGAATCCATTTAGAGAGCAGTTTATTTGTTAACGCAGAGTTTAGAAGCTCTGGCTGACTAGACTGGATCGATAAAGAGTAAAGGGTTTCTCACTTGTGGGGACCCTAGGCAGGGAGAGCCTTCCTAGGAGTCTTCCATATCTTAGTGGTGTCTTTTTCAAAATGAACACTTTGCCTGGGAACTCCAACGTGAATTAGTAGGGAAATACTCATATAGGAAAACTTTTTGACTCTTATTTTGAACGGCCTAAAATGACATGGACAAAAAGTAACCAAAGGCAGTAGAATTGAAAGAATTTTAAGTGAAATAGAGATTTTTCTCTCCTTGCAAACTACTTTGAAAAGGGGGCGGCATGGAGGGAATTAAGTAAAATCACATGGCCTAGTCATTTGGAAATTTGTACCTAATTATGGTGGTGGAGCAGCCTGAACTATTTTCATTTCATGCCAAAACCATTTTCTAACAAGGCCGATGGTTTCTGTAGTTTCTTGACCCAGGAAATCCTTTGGCTGATCCTTATCAGGAAGGGGGTAGAATTTCACTTGGAGATCAGAGTTGGGGCCAGGAGGGGGATTTTGATCTGGTCCCTTGATGTGTAACCCCGAGGAGAAGGATTTGGCTTTGGTTAGCCAGGAAAACACTTGCCTGCATTTGGCTGGTCCCTGATGGGTTTGGGAGAGTTGGGGAGATTGCCTCTCAGAGAAGCTTCCAGGGAGTTTTGTTTTTCTCTCTTTTTCTGTTTTTCCTGCCTGGCCCTAATGAGGCTTGGGAGGCCTTTGCCTCCTTGTGGAACCTGAGCTGGATGCCACAGGGAAATGGGCCATTGACTTTCTGCAGGGACCATTCTTATTCTGGTCTCTGCAGGCTGCCTGCCCCCAGCCCCCAACCATTAACACTTTTAGCATTATAGCTCTATGGGGTTTTGCTGATAAATTCCTGACCCCGGGGGCTTCTGGGCCCAGCCTCCTTTGGAGGGTCCAAGGAAAGAGCAAACATAAACCAGCCAGTTCTCCTAGCTGGGTTCACATTGCCCCCTGTAAAAATGTCCCAAAGTGCCTCTCCCTCCTGCCCCAAGGAACACAGAGGTCACAGTCCTCCTGTCTACCTTCAGACCTTTGGGCCGAATACGTTTGCAAGTGCTAGGAAACTTTGGGTATGAGATTGAACTGGGGGACCTCTGGTACCTTCTTGCTCCCCATCCCTTTGTGGCAGCAACTCCAAAGTGGGTCTCTGTCATCCTAGTTCAGCTCACACATTCCCCTCCTTCCATCCCAGGCCTGAAACTTGAGAACCAGAAGGGGGTCCACAGTCTCTGGCCTGTAGCTGGAAGTAGCTTCTGTTGCTTTTTGAGCTTGTATTTGGGGGTCTTTTCCCCCAACCCCTATCCTCACTCTGAGCAGGCAGCTAGACAGCTCACTGAGAATAAGCTGCCCTCTGGCCCCAGCCTCACTTTTAGGTCCAATCAATGGTACAGCTGGCTTGTTGGGGGCACCCTGATCTGGCAGGAGCTCAGTGAGGAAGAACTGAATTGCTCAGAAAGACAAAAGTTCACTAACTTTCTTTGGAGTTCTTTTTCCATATCTGTCTCTTTTAGGTTGATATGCTTGATGTTTGGTCCTTCTAGGTGAAAGGTCAGTGCTGTGAGAAGCAGAAATGGGGCTTTGAGCTGCCCTCTCTGCTAAGCAAGCTCCTTCCTTGAATGAGAGGAGCTTTGTGATTGGCCTGGAGCTCCTCCCAGTGGGCCTACAGAATCCACATGTTACAGATGAGGAAACTGAGCAGATGCATCCTTACCACTTTGTGTCTTCTTGGCGGTGTGGCTTAGAGGTCTGGAGGTGGGGAGATTCTGCCCTAGTGCCCGGGATGTAACTGAGCCTGAGTGTTTCGAAGTGTCTATGAGAGCAAAGAGTAAGGAATAGTTGCTTTTTCATGTGTGGCTTTTGGGTCCAGGGAGCAGCTTGTGGTCTTTTAATGACCAGTAGCCCTGGAGTTTGGGCCCTATTTGTTGTGCGTGAAGAGAACAAGCCATTCAGTGGCGTGGCAGTGGGGGAGCTTTGTTCTCTATGCAGTCTGACAGTCTGGCCAGGCGCCCGTGGGTCATTGAGTAACTGATACATAAATATCCCCATCTTGGGCCATTAACACTCCAACTAGGACCGATGGCTGGAAGATTCTCCCCACTTGATTAACTGTCCAGAGAGCAGTTTTAAGGAGTGATTCATGCCAAGCTGCCTGGCCTGGGCTGCGCAAGATCACGTCTTGTAAGTTACTGCTGGGGTGAGTAACTTCTCAACCAGCATAAATCAGTATGGCTGCTTCTCCCATTAGCACGTCAAGTCTTGGTTTGCGACCACCCATCTTGGTCCAGGGTCAAAGGGTGGGCTTGTTCAACTAGGGCTACTTTCATTCTGCCTCTCTCCTAGAAAATTCACTAGCTGAGACTTTCGCAGGGTTGTTGAGCTAGCAGGGCCAGGGCCTTTTCTGTCAGTTAAGCCAGGGCAAGAGGGGGTGAAGGGCAGTCTGGGCATTGTGGATGCAGGCCCTGGAAGGTTCTTTTGGTTAGGTATTTGTCCTTGTCTTATTCCATTTCTCTGGTCCTCGATTTCCTTGGATGTAAAAAGGTGATAGCACCTAGTGCATGCATGCGAACGTGGTCATTGCTGTAGCAGTTAATGCGGCGTGGCTCTGTAAGGCACTGGAGAATGGTAGCTGATGTTCACTTTTCTCTGAGGTTGAGAGTGGACCAGTTGCTCTTTGGCTCCATGATGACATGGTGGCCACCCCAGGACATGACTCATAAGTGTCACTTTTTTTGTGAAAAATGCTTCTTGTAACAGTTGGTTGATGGGAAATTCTTATTGCATGAGTAGTCTGTTCTGATCTTATTTTGGGTCTCAGAAAAAAATTAGTGGCATTGGAACATTGAGTCATTTTAAGTAAAAAGTTGGGCTCTGCTGAGAACATCCTCTTTGCCACTACACCTTCTATGACAGTTTCACGCTTCTGTTTAAAGGTGCAGGTTTCAGACTTCTCAGGGGAGCAGGGCAAGATGAGGTTTCCCCAGTTGGGTTGCAGACGTTCGTTGATGCTTAGGTGGGCTGGGCAGGGAGAGCACTTGGGCTGCTCATCCCAGGTCAAGGAGGGGCTTCTTGGGACTTTTTGTCTGGGCAGCAGCCAGCAACCTCTCAGAAACCTCGAGGGAGACCTGGTGCATCTGCAAGAATTTATGGCTGTTGGGACATGCCTTTGCAGGACCTGGCTATCTTTTAGGGAAGCAGGATGGAGGGAGATGGGGGGAACATTCCCTACCTGGGTCCAGAGGGCCAAGGCCAGGAGGCCAGGTCTGTCCCACTCTCTAGGGTCTGGCAGACCACGTGGCAGGTGGCAGATGGTGTGTCTTCCTGTAGGAATCTCAGAGACCTGAGACTTCCCCAGCCTGTCTAGGGCTCCGGGGGAGGAGCTGTAGCCCTCATCCCCTCTAAGCAGGGTAATGTTTGTGCCGGGGGAGGGGAGGGGGTGGTGGTGG